GCAAGAGAGATGTGAGGGGGAGGGGGATTTTTGTGCAATATGTTCGCTTGTCTAGAAAAAAAAACAAGCAAACAAACAAACCAAAAAAATCATCACCTATGATCTTTGTGCATTTGTCCGGGCAATTTCAGTCCGTTCAGTTTTCACTTTCGCTACGTTTCTTAGATGATTTGTTTAGCGGTTTTGGAGCAGCGCTGGTGTTACTGCCTGCTAATAGTATGGTGAAATTGTGGAGGATTGTTATGTCTTTTTTTTTCCCCGGAAGGTGGGCTGCAGCCGGGAGTGGCACAGCTCTGGAGCCGGTCTACCCCCACAGGAATGCGGATTGTCTCAGATCTCCGAGCCGCCCCCCTCGCCTCCTCTCTGCCATTCAAAGCAACTAATTGTAGGGGACACAAAGCGAGAGCGACTGCAGACTGTCTGCTGCGAAAAGTAGGCATTTTATTTCCACACGAGCTGGAACCAAATAAAAGGCTCAGTCAGGTTCTTTACCAGAATATGCCCATAAATCAGACTTTTAAAAAAATGCTATGAAGGAAATGAGTCACTAATGAATTTTACAGACTCAATATTACCCTTTAGAATATGACAGGACAAAAGTTATATAACACCACAAATCAACCCAGTTCAAGAAACGCCAATATTCAACTGAGGCAAGTGTAAATGGGAGATTAGTAGCCATGTTTTATCAGAAATATATGAACAACACGTTTAATAGCCTTCCTGATGACGCCTCGACTTTGCAGTGATCGTTTCCTTAACTGAGCCTGAGCATGGAGACCTTTTTCTCCTCCAAGTGAAGTTTTTCTGTTATATCTGGAAACTACACAGTCGTCAGTAAAGATGACAGCTAAAAATCACTGGATAACCATTGATTGTGTGTTGTATGTTACGGAAAATGAAAAGGATAATTCACCTTGATAGGCAACTGAGCAGCTGTGATATATAACCTTCTGTGGAAGTGTCACCTGAGCTTCACAAGTCTTTGTCCTGATTTTCTAAGTGAGGGTTAAAATCACAAGAGACTGCAGTGAGGCAGAAGATTTCAAAGTTCCACTGTCCAATTAAACGTTTAATAGTCTTCCAAAATGCAATAAATTACATGCACACATTTACACATTTTACACGTTTCTTCTATGACTGTCATCAAATACATTGCATATTCCTCTGAAATTTGAACACGAGCTCCATAGAAGAAGGAGGAGGAGGAAGAGGAGAAGGAGGAAGAGGAAAAGAAAAAGAAAAGAAGCAAAAACAAAACAAAATATTTGATATGAACAACAGAACTTTTCAATATAACGTCCCCGTTCCAAGAGCCAACGAGTGCTGTATCGAGTTAGGGGTTTGCAGGTGGGACGCTGAGGTGTACCATGACCCAGAGTTTTCCAAATAGTTAGAAGCCGTCGTGTTCATGTTTTGTTGCTGTAGGCTGTGCGGCCTGGAGGGGCCCTGTGTGTCCCAGACGGCCGGGGACTGTGGGGAGTTGCACGCCATGGGGTCGCTGGAGCTGGGGCTGTGGTCCGGTGGAAGATCGCCGTTTTTCATGATCTTCTTCATTTTTGATCTTCTGTTCTGGAACCAGATTTTCACCTGGAAGAGAAAAAAACAACAGCACTATTAATTTCTTATATATCCTGAGATATAATAGACTCTTAATAAAAACGGTGCGTAAAGACGAACAAATATAAAGCCGATCGGTCCTAATGTCATTAATAGGCACTGACTTTCAAGTGAAACCATATTCAAAATCAATTTGTTTTAAAAATCCCACCTGTGTCTGCGTCAGTCCCAGCGAGGCAGCAAGCTCGGCTCTCTCCGGCAGCGCCAGGTACTGTGTGTTCTGAAAGCGCCTCTGCAGGGCAGCCAGCTGGAAGCTGGAGTAGATTGTCCGGGGTTTTCTCACTTTCTTCGGCTTCCCGTTCACCATTCTCACCTCAGGTTCGCTTATCTCTTTTTCTGTCAGTATATAATCATAAGAAGAACAAGCATGTAGGCTATGGCCATTACAGATTGGGCTGTGTCTTAAATATCAGTTTTGTGGATTGTCGACTGCATAAAACTGAAGTAAAGCAGATTTCATAAGCCAAACTAATCCCAGACTGCTAAAAAGGAAAACACATGTAATATCGTAAGTCCTGAAAAATAAATGTACAATCGTATTTATTCCTTTAGCTTCAGATTGAACGTTACTGGATTTTTTAATGCAGAACAACAGTCGGAAAAAATCTAATAAACAAAAAATGAATACAACTCAGACCACTAGTCTTTAAATGAAGGTAAGTCGATTATCAAAGGTAAATATGCTCTTATCATTGAAAAACAATCTACGGTCCGTACCTTGTGGACTCGGCTGGGCTTGAACTCTGCTGTAAGTCCCAGCATATTGGTGGTACGCGGGGGTTGTGTACGAGCTGTAATCACTGTAGGATTTTGTCGAATAATTTCCAGCGGTTCCATTTACACCCGGGTACTGATACTGGTAAGCACCGAGAGGCTTTCCGTACGAGGTGGAACTGGGCGAACAGTAGCCGTGTGTGACTCCACCGGCGGGACTGTAGTAGCCAGAATCTGTGGCGGTGGATTCGGGTAGAGTTGGAGATTCCTGAGACGGATGGTGCATGGTGGAGAGTTGAAAGGAGCTCTGGAAATCTGCGGGTTTCACACTCGGGATCCTCCGGTCGAATACTCCAGTCATACTTCCAGAGGGAACTCGTGGGTTTTGTTTTGTTTAATTAACCAAAAAAAAAAAATCAGTCTGACTCCAAAGTGGGGTGGAAACTACACTGACATTGTTGAAAGGTTCTCGGGCCGTCGGGCTCTGGTGAAAACTGCAGCCAGCCCCGCAGCAAAGACTTGGTTAAATCCTAAATCGCGCTCTTACGCACTGCAGGGAGGATCTGGTTCCATTGGCCAAGGCGCACACAGACACAGCTACACCCAATTCACTCAGCCAGCTTTCTTATAGGGGGGAAACCACCCGGGCTATGTGGCTGCTTTGTTGTGTTTTTATACTATCAATCAATGGGAGCAATTAAAATGTTGGCCGTGTCACCAATCGACGTTTTCAGAAGGCTGATTTAGAGAGACAAAACCTCATTATCAAAAAGGCCTCCCGCTGTAGACTGTCCGATTATTATGATTTTCATCATTAATCTTTATTTATGCATTTTATTAAAAGAGACTCGATGCTACTCCATTTAGTTATTTAGACATAATAATCCCAAAATGACATCATAAAATCCAGTGTTAGATCAAAGAATTTTCTTTAATCTCAGAATAAAGAAAAATAAATCAGTATATCTCAGGATGATCACTGCAGTGTTTATTATTTACTTTTAACAGGCAATGAGGCTAAACCTGATGTAATTTTCAATATAGGCTATAGCCCATTTCTGAAAGTAGGCTTATCTGACATTGTTAAATATCTAATGTATCCAAATTAGTATCAATTTGCACAATATTTGTATTGTTTTATACAAAATATAGGTCTATTACCAAATTAAAAATAGTTACCATCCCACATAAACGGTTTTTCAAATCCAAGCATGTAATGCCAAAACTGACCAACTTTGCTCAGCGAGACCATTACAAATTAATCCTTATCTCATCTGGATCATTACAAATTCATTCTTATTGCATCTTATAAACTGCTGCCGATCTTGAAAAATCAATGCTCAGCCCTGCGGCTTAGGGTTTATACACATTCAGTGGTGAACAGCGCCAACCAGTGGACAAACTCAGGACCTGCCTACCAACCTCAAGCTAGTGGCAAATTCCCTGACAAATATGGGGATGGATTAGAGCTCACAGTTGGTATTAGACTAAATAAAAATCGTGGGCATGAACAAACAAAAGGCTATAGGGCAACAATTCCGAGGACTGAAATAACAAATCACATATAGGGTTATGTATCATATAAGACTACATTATGATATCATACTATATTTTGATACACTGGATGTACTGTGTCCATTATTCAGTGTCATATTCTCAGTGCATATGAACAGGAAGTATTTTCTAAAAAAACAGATAATGCTTTTGGAACTGCACCCAATTTATATTTGTAGTTAATTACTTAATATTCGCTAATGTTTATTTAACGTGTATCACTTCATTACTTATTCAAAATTCAGCATTGTTTCTGAAAACGTAGCCCATCTTATGGCTTACGTTCAAACAGACGGTAGCCTAGGACTTTATTGCCTTTAGAATTAAACATTTCACAACTTTTCTCTTTTTTAACTCCTTTAAGATGACAATAAATCTCCCATAACCTTTGTCAAGTTTTTACTCACTCGGTTTGTAGTTTATGTTTTCTTAAGACAGGTCAGTGTTGTTGGAAATACAGAGCCACAATCCACAGTAATAACCAAAATGTCTTGTGGGTATTCGATTTGAATTCGGGTCAAGGCCGAGAGCTCGCAATGTGCGTCTGACGTCAGAGCTCAACCAGCAAGATAGTTCACTCCTATTCTTAAAGTACATAAACGGTTGTCCCTAATAGCCCATATGAGAGGAAAAAAACAAGTGTGTTTCATGTGTATGCACCAGTTTAAAATTAGAACACATTTAATATGTCAAACACTCCGATTATCTAATCTATAAATACTAGCAGTACATGCATTTGTATCTTTAAGTGCCCAGTTTTGTTATAAGTCGCGGACGTTAGGTTTTTAACAGCTCAAATGATTTCACAACACACTTAGTAAAATAAAAAAATAAAAAAAACACAATAATCATACATGACTACAGGGACTGCCCGACGGGAAGTGAACAAACACGGAAGTAAATAGGAGGGAAATCTCTCGTTTTTTGCGAGTCTTTTCTCTCGGCTCCCGTTTTGTATGTTGGGGGATGGGGTCGCGCCGAGGATGAGAGACTCCGATTATTTACCACTTGGCTAACTAAATATCTTTATATCTGAGCTGGGCTTTCTTCCTCGCTGTTGCATATTTTAATAATTTTCGACTACGTATGAGTTTAGGTGTATTTTTTCCGAAATAAAGTGGAGTGCCTCTACGTCCACGACACACGCTTTAAAAGTCGACAAAATGTATTCCTCTGCTGGAGGTAAGTACTGCAGCTAACAGTAGCCTCGGCTAAGTGATGCAGCTAGCACAAATGAATACTAGGTGCAGCTTTTCTTGTTGTATTGCAGTGAGCCATTGTTTAAAAATAGTCTCATTTCTGTTTCGTTTGGCTAGTTATTATGAGAGCCAATTAATCCGTTTAATTAAGAACATCTCGTCTCAATCCAAAGTGGAGGTACTGGTAGAGACACGCTTAGCTAGCATGCAACAACAACAAACTGCTGCTGTTAGCCAAGTTAGCTTCAGCGGTACCTCGTTTCCCGAGCCTGTTGTCGGTTAGCTTGCCAGTGTAAATTCACGAAATGGGGTCGATTGGCTTAGCTGTATTTTCTCAATAAATCATACCATTACAAACACACAAACTGGTTTAGTGTCTTGCAGTTTAACACAGAGTGCAGAGTTAAAGCAGCATGTAGCAGCCGACCTAATTTCATCACAAATCTTAGCTGTGGTTAAGTTAGCTAACAGTATCCAACTTCAGTTAGATATAGTTACATCGTTCCTTCAAGTTTCATGACACCATCAAATTGCTCTATCAGTGCACATTTTATGAGGCTGTACACAAAGTCTGAAGAGAAGTATGCACGAAGTTGGACCCAGGTTGGGTACAGTTACAGTGTAACAGTTTGACATTGAGAAAGTAGCTAGACAGTGTTGGAATACAGTATTATTTGCTGTTCGTGCAATGTTTTCTCTTGATTACTGGCTGTTTATTCGGAGTAAAACGACTGTAAAAACAATAACACTAACAGATTGCTCAGTCCCACTTTGGGGGCGGCTGTGGTTAGGAGGTAGAGCGGGTCCTTTCCTAACCGGAGGATTAGCGGTTCGATTCCCGGCTTGTCCAGTGAACATGTCGAGGTGTCCTTGAGCAAGACACTGAACCGCCAGTGAGTGCATGTGTGACCGTTTGTGAGTGTGAATAGCCAAATAGTGTGAAAGCGCTATACAAGTATAAGACCATTTGCTATTTCGAAATTAGTAATTGTTTGTTTTTATTGAAGAATTAAAATAACATGATGCTTAGCGTTAGTCTGTTTCCGGGAGAATGGGTGGCTTCAGAAGAGTAAGATTGCCAGCTGGCTCGAGTACCTCTGTTTGCATGTTGATAAGAGTTGTGATAAAGTACCCCTTGATTGTAGACGATGGCAGTGCGGAATCTATAAGAGCAAGACATTGAAATGAATCAACTGGTTGCAGTGCAATTGTACATAAAGTCTTAGTCCACATTAACCTTTTAAGCAGTAAAGAGAGATTACTGCCTTGTGTTGAATGACTCAAATGTATGCTTTCACCACTTTCTATGTTTAAGAAATAGTGTCTCAGACCAAGATGATTTTTGAACATTCCTAACATGTAATTTGTGTCCTCTGTAGCTGTGGATATGTTTAGGGATCCCGTTCCTTTGTGTCAATGAGCTCTGGAAAGTTATCACCACATTTGGACTTTAAATCCTTAAATTAGTCCAATGTAAATCACAACACTATGTTAGTTAAATTGTTTTTTAAAATCATCATTCATGCATCACAGCATATACTCATGTGAAGTACAATTTAACCTTCTGAATGTATAATGACATTTCCCAGGAGATAAGAGAATCTGTCACTGGAGGTGAGAGTCTAATGAAGATAATGTAATTCTTTATTAATTTGCTCTCAATGGCAGTGCACTTTGAAACACTAAAGGACATTCCATAATGGCCACTAGTTTGCTAGGTTTTATGAGTGTTTCTGTTTGATTGACCAGAGCTGGAGCCCAAAGATAAGGCACCAAGGGGAATGAAGAGTGTGCTCTGCCAGCCTGGCTGTAATATCTGAAGTTGCAGATATGGAGCCTCTTGGTTCAGTATGTCTGCAATGATGAAAGCTGTAGTGCATGTTCTGCAGGAAATTAAAAACATGAATGACACTTCAAAACATGCAGCAGGGTATAAGAAGAATACGCTGGTTCTGTTTTGGAGCTCGGAAGGTTCAAATTCTCAGTTTATCAGCAGCTGGCAGTTTGATTTTCCCAGACAACTCTCAAACTCACTGTTCACTAGAAGAGAGCCTGTAATAAAGAATCAAGTGGATCTGCTAGCTGGAAGCCAAAACAGTCACTGAACTAAGTGGTGGTTAGACATGTTGACCCCCTCTCTTAATGTTTCTGAAATTTGTGAATGTTTCAGTAGATGGCAAGTGCAGCTTTGCCAGTGCCCTTTTTTCTTTATTAATAAATGGGAAATAAAGCTCAAGACTGGCTCATAAGACGAGGCAGATTTATTTGTATAGAACATTTTCATACACAAAGGCAGTTCAAGATGCTTTGCATATTGCAAACATAAACAGTATAATTTGAAAATAGAAGAAAAATAAAAGAGACCTTAATTGAAACAGTGGGGAAAAAAGAGCAGTCTGGCATAGTTTTAAAATTGGCTACACTTTGGGCACATCTAGGTTGTAAAGGGAGCTGGGGGCAGCACATTGGATGCAAGCTATTTCACAATGTTTAGTTTGAACTCAGGTGATCACTATCTGACTCAGTCTCTTCAGATCTGAGACACCTACCATAAACAAGTCTTATTAAAAAGGAGCCCTCATACAGCTGCCATGTATGAAATGAAAAGTTATGGTGGCAGTATGAGTTTGACCCAACTGCTTGCTGAGTCATTTGGTCCTTTTATAATGCCCTTCACCCAAGCATCAAGTTTTCTTTGCAATGCTAAAAAAATCCCCCCCCCCTCCTTAATTATAGCAGCTTCTGCCAATTATATCTGGGATGACAATAAAGATATATCATATGCTATGGTATTCAAAAATAGTATTTTAAATAGATTATGTCTAAGAGTTTGTCTCTGTCACATTTCTGATGACTGCCACATGCAGGGGGCCTGCTTATGGATGTAGCTGAGCAGGTTGTGCAGAACTGGTTGACACATTCACATAAGACAAGTCTTGGATCATTTGCGCTAAAAGTAGTCATTTTTAGCTGTAAGTGGCATAATCCAGTTATATGTGTAAGTTTTCCTTTATGTGGTTGGAAAAATACTTACTGGGCCTTTAAGATCTTGAGAAGTGTCTTGTTCCTGTAAACTGTGGTACTTATCACACGCTCTGCTGCTTTCCCTCAACTGATCCCGATGCGCCAGAACCCCCATCATCCCCAGTCCCAGAATATGTGTTCAAGCCACCATCACGGCCAGACTTTGGCACCATGGGCAGGACAGTCAAGCTCCAGGCTAACTTCTTTGAGATGGAAATCCCCAAACTGGAGGTGTATCATTATGACATTGACATCAAGCCTGAAAAATGCCCCAGGAGAGTCAATCGGTATGTACATGTTGTAATTGTTCAGCAGCCCCTTGGCACATTGTCTATCAGTGGATGGACTGTCCCAGGCACTGCAGTAATTTGTTTCATTTTGTTCTCAGTGAAATTGTGGAGCACATGGTCCAGCACTTTAAAACACAGATCTTTGGTGATCGAAAGCCAGTGTATGATGGGCGGAAGAATCTCTACACTGCAATGCCCTTACCCATAGGCAGAGACAAAGTTTGTATTTTACAGGATAATCTACAATTCTAAGGAAATCACATTAAAAATGAGAAGCAGTTTCTGAGAAAAATAGCAGCAGCGTTTCTCCTATTTTACTCTCATGCGCCACTCAGGTGGAGCTCGAGGTGACCATTCCTGGTGAAGGCAAGGACCGCAGCTTTAAAGTATCCATCAAGTGGGTGTCCTGTGTTAGCCTGCAAGCTCTGCACGAAGCACTGTCAGGACGGCTACCCAGCGTGCCCTTTGAGACCATCCAGGCCTTGGATGTGGTCATGAGACATTTGCCCTCCATGAGGTGGGTTTCTGGTTGATGGTTTCATGTGTATGGTTGGCTGTCATGTCCTTGTACTTTTTGTTGTAAAATATCCACAGATGTGGTTTTGAATGTTTCCGCACTAGTTACAAATGACATTTATTTTACATTATATCCTTTTTCAGGCATGATATGTAACATTGCTGACTTCATGAGTCTATTGAAAATGCCTTCCTATATTTGTTTCAGTACAGTGTGCCAACAGATTTGTAGAGACTTCACACTTGCATGAAACTGGTTACATAAATACTGTATGTCTTTTACATATTTTTATGCATGATAATGAACTGGTTGTGTAAATATCCATAGCATGCATATACATATATATGTGTATATATACATACACACACAGTCAGCAAAAAATTATTTGAACCCCAGCTGATTTTGTAAGTTTGTCCACTAACAAAGAAATGATCAGTCTACAATTTCAACGGTAGGTTTATGTGACCAGTGAGAGACACAACAATAACAAAAAAATCCAGAAAAATGCATTACAAAAAAAAGTTATACATTAATTTGCATTTTCATCAATGAAATAAGTATTTGATCCCTTTGCAAAACGTGCTTTAGTACTTGGTGGCAAAAC